ATTTTGAGACCTTTGGTTTCAACTACGAGTATGAAATTAGATATTGAATTCATTTACCAATAGATCTTGGCTAATACATTTCATAACAAGAACATGACCCAGATCCGGTTCATGTAGGTTATATCATACAGTCGATAGATCACTAATTATATCGGATAAGTAAATAGGAACATTTAATTATACGACTTCAATATGCGTAATAAACGTACATGTAATACGCAAATTCAATATTGCGGATTAAGGCCTAAATCCATCCCCCCGGATTTAACCATCGCTATTCAGCCCTCTGACGCTAAAAAATATAATAAAAAATGATTAATAGAAGGTGGCAGTGTCGGTGAGCCGGATTGGCAGAGAAGCTCTCTAGTATCAAGAGAACTTCTCCCGATACTACCCCCCCCACCCATAGAATAAGTTAACTTCACCCGATTAAGAAAATTCGAGGTTGTCACACGGACACTTACTTTTGAACCAAAGCACGTGTATAATTTGGACGAGTATATAGGTCCCAATTACCTCTATATAGAGAGCGTCTAGGAATGACACTCGATATGAGAAGTGTGCTTGAGATGTCAATACTCATGAAAATATTTCTTTTGATTTTATCCCACACCACATTGCCGACTATTTATCCCGCAATTTTCCAGAAGAAAATCATGAAAACCAAAACATTAAGGTAAATGCAATATTAACCGAAGTCCCTGAAATCTTTGGAAATTTTATTTCATCCCAGCGAGAGGATCCAACTAAAACTAGGAAATATAATATCCAAGATTAAAAATAAAGAAAAAGTGGACAATTACCTGATGAAAGGTATAAATTATATTACCAATTTCAAGACGGAAGATTAAGAGTTGCAATCCCTGAAAAATTAAAAAATGCTGTTTTTTAGTATTTTCATACTTCAAGTATCGGTTGTCATCAGGGCATTTTTAAAACAGCGTAGAAAATAAAATTCGTATTTTATTGGCCCAAATTAAACGCATTTTTAACGAAAAACATAAATTCTTGCCTAACTTGTCAAAAATCAAAATATGATTTCAAAAAATCACAAAAAAAGGGAAAATTATCTTCCTAAATTTATGCACACCCAGGGCATACACTTATGATTGTTATCGCGGGAGAATTACCTAAATCTAAGCCAAATAACTTCAAATATATCCTAATCTGTCTCGATGCATTTACACGTTATACATGTTTAATTCCATTAAAAGAGGCCACATCAACAACCGTTAGTAAAGCTATGGATAAAACAATTTTTAAAAATTTCGGTTATTGGGAAAGAGTTATTTCAGATAATGGTAGTATTTTTAGATCGATGAAATTTATAAACTTTCTATTTATTAGAAGTATAAAGCTCCATTATTTAATCCGATACAAACCTGATGCTAATAAATGCGAAAGACGGATTAGGGACTTAAAACAAAGGATCAAAGAAAATGGCCAGAAAACTTAAATTTCATTCAACTTGCTTTTAATACAGCAACTCATGAATCGACCGGGTACAGTCCGAACCTTCTATTTCTAGGAGGAAATGTTTACACTCCCTTAGAACTGGCATGGGAAATTGAACCAAGTGATCTTCATATTAACTCGAAAGAATTATGGAAATCTGCTTTTAGAAATTTGCAAACCGCCCACGCTTCTATTGAAAAACACTACAACATAAAACATAAATCCATTGCGTATGACAGAAATTACTTGGGTTCTCTGTTCCGATTCATTCGGTTCAGAGGGTTGTTTTATTGTATATTGATATTGTGGTGTGCCGTAGTGTGTATTGAGAGTGTATGTATTTATTAGCGTGATGTATTGCACAAAACCTCATACATGGAAAATCGTTCAAGTTTCTCAAAGAGATTAATCTTGGCCACCGATTGTAATGAAAAGGCCAGGTTAAATATAATTTAAATGCAAGAGCCTTTTCGAGAGAAGAGAGAAAAACAGGCAGATATAAAGGAATAAAAAAACAAGCTATCAGATAGGTAGCCAATCAATGATTGTAACAATGTGTTTAAAGGCTCAGAGAACATTTCATTTGCATTTTCCCTTTTCGTAATAAAAGGTTCTGGCCAATCTAATCCCACCGGCCACCCTAAGCTCGCTACTTTTTACTTTATTACGAGTAAGCGTCAACCTACTCTCGGGCCTACTCAAGTTTAAAATTACTTTAACATTCCTTGAGCTTCTCCAAAGCAAGTTTCATGTTTCAACTTTTATATTCTAAAATAACTCAGTTCTCCTTCAACTTCCTTTATAACTGAAATATTCGATTTACCTGAAAGTAAGCAGAAAAAAAGATCTTTTTCCACTCATTAAATGAACTCCATTAAAAGAACAGAAAAATTGTAATTTGTTTCTTTTCCTTCTTTTTTATTGATCTAGACGCACAAGGTGGAACTGCAACTGTGCTGGGCATTTCATTATTTACAACGATCCGTTCTTCCATTTTAATTATTATCGGAGGTTAATAAATAGAAATAAACAATTAGTCTAGCAAGTAAAATATTATGTATTTTTGGGTTTTTTACTGATATTCCGATTTCATCCGCTCTGTTTTTTTTGTTTTTTTTAATATCAGGCAACTATCTACAAATCCATAACTGAAATAATTTTAGCATTGTGTAATGTTAGCTGTTTACAGTATGAAGAAAATTTTTGAAGTCGTTTGTTCTGCCTACGTAGGGTTTATTGTACGTGGCCTAATCGTTATTCAATGATTCGACATTCAATTAAATTAGCGAAATTTAATTAATATCGGCGTGTAATCAGTTGAAATGCTCGGCGTGTACTCAGCTGAAATGAATAAATAATTAGACTAGCATGGTAAATTAAACGTATTTTGAGTTATTGTTAAACTTTTAAAGCTTTTACGGTCATTCTGATACCATCTCTTGTTTTACTGATGTTCTATTAAAACAATATACAAAGTATTTTAGTAACTAAACCGTAAATAAAAGTTCAGGATAGCGCTTATGTCCATTAAGTTGCCTCATTATCACATAAGCTTGAAACTANTATATATATATATATATCATAATAAAACCCTAATTACCCTCCGGTTCACTAGTCTGGTGGACCAAATTTCAACAAAAACAAGTTACCCAAACATCAAACAGCATACAAAGACTGGTGAACATATGTATCTCAGTGGCAATGAAAACAATACCGTTAAATCCATTAGAGACAGTCCTAAAACTACTTCCATTGGAAATATTTATACAAGGGGAAGCGAGGAAAAGCTCATTTAAGCTCCAGAAACAATCAAATCAGATAGGAACTGAACACATCGGGCTAACAACAATAATTAGTAAAATCAGAAAAAAAAGGAAAGAACTTGATCAGGCGTTTTTTTGTGACAAACCCTAAACACGAACAATCAAACTCATTAGGGAAGTACACCTTTCAAGCTGAAATATATTCCTTCAATGCTTGTGCCTTAAAAAATGCTAACAGAGGTTACCCAATTTTGAGTAACGAAAAGCAGACCACTAGCCCGAGGAGGATGTTCAAGACCATATATAAACCCTGAACCTATCTTGGGATTAAAAAAAGAACACGGAATCCTTCGTCGCAGAATGGATTCAAAACAGACAAAAGGAGACGTCGATAAACTCTAAGGGCGCTAGATAAAGTACACTTGTCATAAACAACCGCACCAAGACTGGCACACTTGAATGAGAAGCAACTACTCAATGGTGACATAACCTGAATACAAAACCCAGGGAAAGGAATTGTAGTAACGGCTGTCAATGGCCTTATAAAGAGAACCAACTAAGGCCCTAGGAAAAAATAAATACTTGATGGGATCGACCAAAAGAAGTAAATGTAATGATGTAGTGATCAAGATTGGGGTTAATTGAAAAACAGTTCTGCCAAGCTTTCAACATCATTTGAAGACATCCTTAGGCGCTGAATTACAAAAACATTGAAAACATACATTTCACGACAATGATAGAACAATATGTCTTATCGATTAGGTTTCGTGGTCCGATTTACCAAATAAATTCTTTTCAATTAATTATTCTTTACGTAAGGTCTTGGTTGAGATAAAAAAAAGGAAAATGGCAAAAAGATGCAAAGGCCAATAACCACTACAATCTATAATCTTACTTTATGCATAAAACAACATGATAAAAAATTACATGACAGATGTTGATGGTGATGATGATGAAGTGGGAGTTTTATGTCCCAGCACTGCAGCTCCGATATTGATATATGATATAATGCCCATAAAAAAACCTTGGTTCACCTGGTTTTTGCACGAAAAAATGGCCAAATTTTGAAATGGATATTTTCTCAGCCTTTTAAGTCACAGACCTGTGCTAGGTCTCATTTGTTAGAAAATTTAACGTTGAACTTTTAACGTTGAAGTTTTTTTAAATGTTTTCCTAGATTCAGCATTTATCGGTAAATTAAAATTTTTTGGAACATGTCAATTTATGCACTATGGAAACTTCAAATTGAGCTATGGAGCCAGGGAATCGCCCTGGAGCGACCGTTTAGCAATCGATAGGAAATTTTAATAAGCTCTCAATTCGATTGTCTGAATGCATAAATTTTGAACCGTAATGTTTTCGCAAATTTTACGCTCTACAACGCCGGCTCTTCGTGTTTTCCTCTTTTGTTTCCTTCGCGTGTATTTTGTTTTTAAACGGCAACCATTTGAGAGTGTCAACCTGGTTACTGACTTTCTGCTTTTATAGCCTAAAATGCTAACCTCTCATTTGTACCTCAGGTTGTCAAATACAGAATAGAAACAAAACATGCGATATATATATATATATACATTTCATCACCACATACATTTCTAAAATTCTGGTCACATTCACTCCTCCAGAGTACTCTATATTCCCCGAGGCGAGGTTATAAGATTCCACGCTAATAAATTACATCCATTCAAATAAATTAAAACTAACACAACACCCGATAGACGTCTAGTCACGTTCACTCGAAGAAATATAAATAAATTAAAGTTGAAGTTAATGATTTTGACTTACCCATGAAGCAACATCTCTCCGTTGCTTTTCAGCCAATAATTAATTGTGTTGGGAAATGCCTCTACGTAACACTCCAGCTGCACATCCGTCCCAAGAGGGGCGCCGAGCAGCTGATTCGGCACTCGAATCACCGGACTGACTAAAATTAAATTAAAAAATTAACACTTATTAAGATTTATCGCAACGGTCGTACTTACAATTGACATTTAGAATAATCCTTTTACTGACAGCCGGTGGGACGTCGTTACTAGCTATACAGAGATACGCTCCCATTTGTCTTCTATCCACCCGAAAAAACTCCATTATACTCCCGTTATAAGACGTGACTAAAATAAATAAATTAATAAATAAAAACAATATGGTAAAATTTTCATTTAAATAGTAATGATAAGAAATGTCAGAGGGAGGAAAGATTTTTTAAAGAGGAAAAACAAAGAGAAGTAATTCGGTTCTTCAAAATTCAATATATTCTATTTAATCATGTGAAAATAAAATTTTAGGTTGCGCACGAAAAGTAATGTTTACTGTTAAAGTGTATTCGGCTTTTTATTTAGACATTTCTATTTTACCGAGTTGGGGTGCGACCTTAACCTAAATGATTTCAATTCGGCATGTGGGAGTGCAAACAAATTTTAGCAGCATAACGCGATTCGGGGTATCGGGCGATATTATGTAAATGGACTCTTCTGCCCCCCGGATGTCCATATTCGCCTCGTAATGGGTAATGGACTCGTTATCGCTAAACGACATCTTCGGGCAGGACTTTGCCGAATGACTGCATAATTTGCTGTCCGATGTTTCGCTTTTCAGCGGAAAATTGTCCAACGGGCCCGGAAAACCCAATTACCAGTGTAAGCGGGACGCATTAAAGGCTGACGGACTAAATACCTGCACAAGTTTAACCGGCGGACAGATTATGGGAACGACGTGGTGCACGCAGTTGGTTATGGAAAGGGGGAACTTAACTTTAAACATCTTGAAACAGTTGTATTACCCTGTGTAGTTTCAACAGTTAATTAACTTTAATGACTTTGTTTCCAGCAATAAAACAATGTTGAAGATAATTATTGCTCCATTATACGATAGATAAACCCGACCAATTTCTAGTAATCGCTAAAGTAAAGTCGAATGCAGATCTGTTTATTTTCCATTAAGAGGCATGACAGTAAACTACATAAACATTACCATTTTAAATTAAAATTTAAAATTTACAGAACATATCAGATCTTATCATCAATGTGCCATCTCAAGAAGGAAAAAATGATTAATTTCCTTCTTCCGGGAAATAGTGCTTTAAGTAAGGGAGACGTCGGAAAATGATTGATGGCGTATATTACATTAATGAGTTGTCCCTCTCGTTTTCTCTAGACTCTCGTGATAGATCAAAATTTTTTCCTGCGCTAGAGTTTACTTTTAAATAACATCCTATATTTTCAATAATTTTACTGCTGTTGTATTTCCAAATTGACAAGATGAAGCCAGCATAGTTAGCTTGTATTCAACTATTATTATTACTATTTTTTCTCTCCATGTTTGGTATTGTTATGATCCTAATTCACAAGTTTTCCTCTCGATTTATTTTTGTTCTCTTTGTATTGCTGTCAGACCTTAAACAGGATTTCTCTCAAAGATGCCTATAACACCAAATTAAAACATATAAATGTATATATTTCTCTTTTGAGCTAGAAAATAGTACCAATTGTATCACTTTTTTCTATATTATGTATTACTCTAATCAAATTGGTGAAAAAAGTTGAATTTTTGGTTTTATCTCTATTTAGTTATTAGTGTTTTCGAGTTTATTTAGATTATATAAATGTAGTAATTTGCAATAGGGATTCTACTGACGGACAAGTTAATAATTAATTACAAATGAATCTATGTTTTTGTACTTTTATAAAAAGAAAACGTATCACATTATAATGTTTTTACTTACAAATATTTGGGAGTCACTCTGACAGCTCGATCAACGACAATTCAATCATCACCTCAACGAAAAAGTTTCTAGGGCTTAGCTGGGTCTGATCAGAATCTGATCAGTGTTTTTCTTTCAAAACGAAATGCCTTTACAATCAAAATATCAAGTTTATAATAGTGTGTGTTATACGGTTTCATAAGTATTTTTATAAAAAGTTATTTTCTCTACCTGCACACACCGCTATGTGTATGGTTAGTAGTGAATCATCTGCTGAACCAATTTTCTTTTATATTGTACATTACGCTTGCATTTTAAATTTTGTTTGAGGGTGTTTTCATTTCCTGGTCATCGATTGGTAAATGCTGTAGCCAGGAAGGTGACAAGCCGTAGGGCTCACTAGTTTGATTACTGAGATATCTTGGCTCGCAATTACTCTTATGAGTTGGATCTTTCCATATACGTTAAGGCTCAGTGGACTACTGAGCTTTCCTTACTTTTACAGAAGATAAGAATAGTTCACCGGGAGGAGTCTGTGAGGATGCTGTTTGAGCACGTTTTTCTGTATAGAACCCTTTTGGAGTCAAATATGGAATTTAGTGTTTTTGACTGCAGTGACTTAGTCAATTTAGGTGGTTATTCAAATGAGAGGGGTATTACTATATCTCAATGATTTGCCCTGGTTGAGGAAGGATTTCTCAGGGAAAGATGTTCTCTGAGTAATTTGAATGCCAGGAGGATCTTCATCATTTCCTTTGTGAATGTCCTGTGCTGGCCGAATTTCGCCAGCCGTACATGGGAAATAGCTCTCTCTTGGTTTGACAATTGTCAAAGATGTGACAACTCTTCGGCTCTATAATCCTTTAATTTCTTTTGCGATGAAGGACCAGAATACCCTAACCATCCCTAACCAGAATTCAGGTATAACTGGATAAGTGAGTTTAATTACAAATTTTGTTGCTCGTTCTTAAATTGGTATATTGCTTTTTTAAAATATTTTTTCCTATTGTAATATTAGCTTTGTATCGTAAGAATACGATTTTTAGTTTAGATTATTCTTTTGACGTATGTACTTTTTATGATCATTAACATCATCTTTAAGATTACCACTGTAAAATAAATTAAATTATGATATAATCAAAAGAATTCCCAATTCCGGCAGACGGCTTTTTGCTATGTCTACGATTTATTGTAATTATGATGTCAACTGTTTCTTATGTTTAATAATAAATGTATTCTTCTTCTTCATTATAAGGTTTTCTAATCAATTGATTTACTTTAACATCGACTTTACATTATTTATCTCCGAGTGAGAAGGATGTGGTTGTTCCGGCGGAAGGAAACCGGTGAATATCTGTGCGTCGTACCACATACGTCCATAATTCCACATAAAACATGTATAAAAACGTTGCCTTTTCCGGCTATGCAACAAGGCTTATCGATCTGATATAAACCGCCATCTACGTATATCAACGAATGAATCCAGTTCGATTAGTTTCTTTCTACATTCAATTCATTTCCCCGTATTATTCGGAAATGATGTATTATGTATTATGCGATGAATTATCCATCGGTACGTGATCCTTTTCCAGAATGATAAAACGAAGAAAAAAAAAACAGTTTGGTTTCACGGTATTTAAGGATATGAACTGTTCTATAAACAAAGTGTAAGTTATCTCTGATGTTATTGATCTCAAAATTCCTTATTATAATTTTATATTAAAAATCAGAATTAAATTTTTTTAAAAAGAAAATACTCAATTCCTTCATTTGAAACTATGATTAATAATTAACAAACATGAACATCTGTTTACAATATTGAAACCTATGGATCCAGTATTTAATAAGTTTAGAGTGGAAATTGAAGCGTGTTTGAATAAGATCTTTCAGGAATGGGCTTTTAAGGTCTGTATGGATCATTTGATTGGTGACGTAGAATGGAGAGTTGAGGATACAGCGGAGAACTTTAGATTCAAAGGATTGAATTCGTTGGATGTTGAAGGATTTGGCCGAGCCCCCACAGGTCGACTCATATGTTCAAATAGGTCTGATGAGTGTTTTGTACACGGTTGGTTATGGATGCTTAGGTTGATTTTGGTTTCAGTAGGTTCCGAGTAGTCCATATCTTTTATTAAGCTATTGTCCTTTTAATCTTTTATGTGGGTTCCATACACAAGTCTCAGCCATTCACAAGTTACAAGAGTCTGTTATTTTGTAAAGCACGAAGTAAGGAAGTTGATTGGATCTTGTTGGAAATATGTATTGATTGGCAGGTTTGACATTTGAGCGCAACCATAACTTGGCTTTTTGCTCGATCAAACTGAACCGACACCGAGTGCACGAGGCGGTAATGAAGTTCATTCATTGTTGGATTGCTTCTGTGGCTAGGACAAGATTGGCGCGTTTGGTGACGTCCGCGTAGGCATTGTGTAGATGATAAAGAGGATTGGGCCTAGGATACTTTATTGTGGAACGCAAGCATCGATTGACGGCTGGATGAAAAATCTGACAATAGTTACAATTTTTTAATCTATCCCTATATTGTTTTTTGCTTTTTGTGAAGTACATGTTCATTTTGAAGGAAATTAGAATAGAACAATCTCACGCTCACAAAAAAATCATATAATTCAAAATATTATACCAAATAAATAATTAAGTTCATGATGTGAATTGACAATGAGGTAAAGTTCAAAGTTAGTTTCTGTAAAACTAATTTCTGTACAACTCTATCAAAAAATATTTGTACTTCCAAAAATTCTTTTCACTTCGAGAAAGATGATGGGAGCGTACTTGTAGGAACTTAAAACAATTGGACTGTCGATTCCCTGTATAACAACTATATTGCTTCTATTTAAGATTTCATCATTTTTCACCAATTAAGACAATCTTTTTTATCAAGGGTATTTTTAAATTTATCTTGCAATATAATTTCTGCATCTTGGGTTTTCACTAAACCATTTTTTTTTTCCTTTGAAAAGGAAAATCCAACCTGCATTTCATTTTTAACCGGACTACTTCAGAAAAAGTAATTTTTCAAAAAAGTAAAAGAGAGCATCTAGAAGTTTTAGAAATCGGAGGTTCAAATAAGAGCTGATTGTTTAAAGAAAATTTTCTTGTGATTTCATGTACATTTTTGTCCATAAAAAGTTAACTGGAATCAAATTTTAGGCTTTTTTCCTCACATCTTCTTAAATCTCTAATTAACATTTAACTTTTTAAGTAATCAAAAAATTTGAAATTTACAATATTTTGCCAATATGCAAATTTATGCTATATTTTTTAAATATATGGAATAAAATTTGAACCCTTCTACCAAGAATTTATGATTTGGATAAGTGTTAACAAAACGAATCTGCAATTGCGTACAAATCCGGGTTCTGTTCATAAGTTTAAATCGACAACAATTGCTAACAATAAAAAAATTAAAAAGTTTAACTAAACTACTAAAACACATGTTACTGTTTTAACTGTTTTATTGACTATTCTCCCGTCTTTTTTTGTTCCAACTGCAAAGTTTGAAGGAGTTGATTGCTGTGTGGATAAAAAGTAACTGTGTCTCGAGAGGAGACGGCAATCCTCTCTTTTTCCATTCTTCCTTTCATTTCATCTCAGCATTGAAATGGATACGGGCGGTTTATTGCAGGATGCTTAATATTAATATCAAAGCGGGAAAAAAGTTTAAAATATTGAATTTACCCGTCGTTAATTCTCCTTTGGGTCGACGGGTGATAATAAGATCGCCGTCTTCTCTCCTCCAAATTATTCTCGGCTCAGGATGCCCTGTTGCTTTGCAGCCCAAAGTCGCGTTCTCGCCTTCCTGCAATGATAAATCTGGGCTCGTTTCGGAGTAAACGATGTCTGGTGGTACTGGAAAAAAAGTCAAAGTTATTACTGGTTATTTTAATAATTATTTTATCTAAGGCTTTTGGTTGAGATGTTTGCCACGAGAGGGTTTTTACAACCAAAAATCGTAGATAAAAAGAATAATTAATATGGTCAATTATTACCACTAAGCATATATGGTTATGTTAAACCTGCTACGCCTGCAGGTGTTGCCGATCTGTAGAATCAATTTAAGATGGACTAATGCTATATTTTTCCATCAAATGTGTTTAACAAATTAAAAAATTTTGTTAAAAATAAAAAAGATATCAACATCGTCCAATTAAAAAGAAACTTCATTTGATAGGAATTCATGCAAGTATTAAAAATAGTTGTTTACTAATGCATTTAATTAAAGATGCAATCTAATAAAGAGAGAAAAATCTCTTATGAGAACCAATTTGTTGCGGATCCGGGATGCGGTCACAAAGAAGTGAGTGTTGTAACTTCACGCCTAGCTTTCGACCTTTATTACAGTCTTCTTCAGGGCTCTACAAACAATTACAAAAATTTAGGGATACAATAACAATTATGCAGACAATACATCAATAAATTAAGAGAAGTCAACTCACACGTTACATTGTCATAAATAAATTTGACTACAATAGAACATTTATAAACCTCCAAAAAACTAAAAAAACAAAACAGATAACAATAATTAAACCTTTAATAAAGTTATTTATAAAATTAAAAAGCAGGACTAGATTATTTTTTATAAATATAGGCAAGTAACCACTATAATCAGGATTGACACAGTTAACATTAAAAGAAGGCTAAATCAAACCATTGCAGATGACGCTAAGATTCGTTAATGTCGCTTCTTAAATTCAATGAATTAATATCTGCTTTAATGTGAAGCATTTCCTTTATAACTCTCCTGCCCAAGACTTTTTCCATGTCAACAACTTTCACTTTATCAAAATTTATGTCATGGCTTGTGTAATTGTGATCCGGATGTTATAAACTCGTAGATGACCTATATAAGTATGATTTAATTAGCAGAAAATTGAAATTAAAGTCGTATTGCAAAAGTACAATATGCTCAACTCTTTCGAGTTTAAAGATTGTATTCCTACTTATTCAATAAGCACAGATGAAATCTTAGTATCGTTTGACGTTAAATCTCTATTTACCAACATTCCATTAGGTATAACATACATATTAACTAGAGGACAAAATGAAATTTTACAATTTACAAATATCCCCTTGGAGAAACTATTAGATCTTCTCGATCTCACTGTGTTTTGTGGTTATTGTTAATATTGTGACAGGTTTTATGAACAGTTTGATGGCGTTGCAATGGGAGGATTTCTCTCCTATTCTTGCTGATCGGATTATGAATGATCTTGATTGGATTCAATTAGGATACACATTTGACATTAAATTAGTTAAAAAGTATGTTGACGACGCTCCTGACCTTCCGTTTTTGAACCTTTTGGTTATTAAATGGGATGATGGATCAATAATCTACTGGTACCAGAAGCCGTCCAGCACGGATGGACAGAGTACTAAAATTAAGTGATGAGTCTTTTTACAAGGATAATGAGGAAAAGAAACACCGTCAAGTTAAAGAGTAATGGTTATCCCACATGACTTATTAAAAAGTTGATATCTCAAAAAAATGGACTTAGTAGCAATATTGACAGCGGGAATTTGGAGTGGATTTTCTCCTACATATATTGGTGATGCTTAAAAAAAATTATGTCACTTTTAGTGAATAAACTCAGTGATGTAACGATCATTTTTAAATTCAATAATAAAATTGAAAGGAAAATGTTTTCGAAACTAAAATGTAAAAGCCCGCCTCAAAACATGTCAAATATTGTATTTCCATCCAAAGTAAAAACTGCCCCATGATGTATTATGGTCAGTCAAAACAGTACCTAGATGAAAGGGTGACATAACACCGGTACGATTGTTCTGACATGGGTAGTACTTTGTCAAAACATCACAATGACACAAGCCATGGCATAAATTTTGATAAAGTGAAGGTTGTTGACATGGAAAAAGTCTTGGGCAGGAGAGTTATAAAGGAAATGCTTCACATTAAAGCAGACGTTAATTCATTGAATTTAAGAAGCGACATTAACAACCTGTCATCTGCAATAGTTTGATTTAGCCTTCTTTTAGTCCTAACTGTGTCAATCCTGATTTTAGTCACCATTGGTTATCTTCCTATATTTATATATATAAAAATTTTAAAAAAATCTAGTCACGCTTTTTTATTTTAATTTTGTAAATAACTTTATTAAAGGTTTTAAATATTGTTATTTATTTATTTTTTTAATGTTTTTGGAGATTTTTGAACCCTAAATTGTTGTAATTGACTGTAGAGGCCTGAAGAAGATGGTAACAAAGTTCGAAAGCTTGGCGTGAAGTTACAACACTCACTTCTTTGTGACCGCATCCCAGATCCGCAACAAATTGGTGATATCTAGACGGTCGATTCATCTTAATTCCTCTTATAAGAATATCCTTAAGACTTAAGAACTTGGTTCTTACATAAAGAATATATATATATATATATATACACACATACATATATATAAGAAAAGAAAGTATAAGTAAAGAAACCTGGCAAGTCACCAACTAAGCCTGTTATATACAGAGTCTTTTTTAACAGGCAACAGCAGGTTTTCCCTATTTTTTTTAACAGAATCCAAAAAAGGGACCAATGGCAAATCTCTTACATTTTTGCGTAGATTCCAACACCGGTGGAAATTTTTTTTTGCGTCAGTCCTTTCTAATTTCACACTGGAACCCCAAATATTTAGTTTTTTCTAAAACTAAATTTTGAAATTGAAAAAAATTGTCGGGTCTAGGATTTTTGGAAAATGTTTAAAAAACAAGGAAGTTTAATAAATAATGTTTATTAAACGCAAGTTTGAATTTTCTTTGTTTTTCCCATGAGGCCGCTAGGTAAATACAATAATCATATAACTTTAAACACAACCATTGATCATAATAAAAATGAGTGAAATTGCTTACTTGAATGTAAACAATTCTCTGAATACAAAAACGTGCCGAAAAATTATAAACAATAAATGTGATAATTTTATTTATCTTGAGAACATTTCATCAAACAAATTTTTCCAAATGAATACCCTGCTGCCGAATACATACTTAGAGTCACGTAAGCAATTTCACACATATTTATTATGAGAAAAGGTTTTGTATAAAGTTTTTAATTTTTACTGTTTACCTACTGAACCCACGAAAAAAGGAAACTTGCGTTTCATAAACATTTCATGGAAATTTCCCTAAAGTATTAATATTTTCAAAAAGTCTAGAACCATCAATTTAGGAGGTCTACAAAAGTTGTGGTACTCATTCTTCTCAGAAAAAAATCTAGTTCCAGAAAACAATTAAAGTTTGGGTTTCCCATTTGAAATTACAAAAATTGACGTCAAATTAGTCAGTTTTAGAATCTACGCTAATTTAAATGTAAATTTTATGGGAGTTACATTGGTCTCTTTTTAGTATCTGTTCAAAAAATAGGAAACCCTGCTGACGGATATTACAAAAGACCCCCTGTATATATATATATATATATATATATATATATATCTTATATAGCACATTAGCACGTCTTAGCACATTTAGCAAAATTTTGAACAAAAAAATACTGCTGATTCCTATGGATCGACACCTAGTTACCAACAATATTATTATTTTCAATTAGTTGTCGATCACGCCACACAAACTTTCTAATTTCTTTCAACCTCAAACCACAAGAGAGCTGTTTCAAAGTCAGGATGTGAATTTTTCTAGGATTTTTTTCGCTCAGTCCTTTTCATATTCTTCTTTTAATTATTTTATATTTTTTTAAATAGTTGAAATAGTCACATGACTAATTGTATGGCCAAATCTCAATTTTTCCACATTCTCCAATCTGGAAATTTTATGAATTTCTTCTTCGACGATTAAGTTTTATGACATCATTTTTTCTACACTTTTGTTTCAAGTTTGAATAATTGTGGCGGGTGTCTAAAATAAAGGTGCGTTATCTAAATTACTTTCTTGGAAAAATAAGTCCGGATGTTATTATAAGCGATTTTTTTCCCCAGAAATAATTTTATTTTTGATTAAATTCACTAATTTCGTGGTCCGCTTGACCAATTAATATATTATAATTAATTAAGGTTTATAGTTGAGATAAAAAAGAGAGATACAAATATTAATTGGTCAAGCGGTCCACGAAATTAGTGAATTTAATGAATTAAAATGAAGTATACTTCACCAAAGCTCTCCATGGCCATTTCATTTGTCGCCGAGAATCCAATGCGATTACACGAGATTTGAAAAATGGCAAAAAGGTGGGAAAATTCAAAAGGTGGGGTTGAGATGGGAAATTAGTGTCCGAGTGGATCGAGGTCACGATAGCTCAAGTGGTAGAGCAGCGGCGTATCTAGCCGAAGATCGTGGGTTCGAATCCCGCTCGTGCCATTGACTTTTTTTATCTCAACTATAAACCTTAATTAATTGTAATTTATTTTTTTCACTAAGCGTACATCGGTACTTTTTTATACATTAAATTGTATAAACCTGGAACTAGCCATTTAATTTTTTTCAACGATACATTTTTACTACCGGAGTTTTTATAAACGATTTCTACTTTATTTCTGTAACACGGGTTATTTTTCAGTATTTACTGATGTCACCTCCATTAATTTTTATCTAATGTATGGTCAAAATGTGCCTATTTAGTTGTACCTTCTTTTCCCCTCTTTGTCTTCTTTTCCTTAATGTTGAAACATCACGCTGTGAGGCATTATTGATTAAACATAAACTTGTCCGCTGTTCCATCTGTAGCCCTTTATTCCAACAGGTAAACAAAATGCTGTGGCCGTGTTTTATATATAAAAGCATGAGTATTCGGCTCGTTCCCCTCAAGAAATGACCTTCCCATTAATCATATTTCATAGGTTAATAACAATAATAAATAATTTGTCTTTTTAAGCATTAACACCAGTTGGCGGAATCAT